CCCCCCCCCCCAAATCCCCCAAACTTTCTCAGCGGATTTGGGCTGTACTAGGTAAGCGCAGTACAGCCCCCAACTCAGATTTGAAAAAAAGTTAGTGGATGGTTGTTTTCTGACTGGTTGGCAGACCACCGACTGGTTGGCTGCAATATGGTTAGCGGTCGGGGTCGGCGGTCGGCAGGTATGCAACCCTGTTCCTTGCTAAACAAAGCTCTTGAAGATCAGTTGGGATCTGAAAACAAAGGCAGGCACGCATGCCATCAGATGTGTTGCGAGTTTGGGATTGCGTGTCATCAGAAGTGTTGTTACCGTCTTTACCGAAATGGAATGCCCGGTCATTATAGCTGCATTTGGTGCAGCTTGCAGGCCAGATGCAGCGATAATGACCGGGCGTTCTAGTCCGCTGAAGTCAGCAGTTTGGGATTGCTTTTGGCTTTAGGCAAATAGTGGTATGGGAACCACTGGTCCACAGTAGAATTTGTGTGCGGGTATCCCTCCCCCCCTACCCTTTTTTTTTTAACTCATGAGCGTGGTCTCCTTTGCTTCCTCTATCCCAAGTCCCTTCTCTTCTTTTGCCTGTGTGTCGTTGTCTTCTCCCTCCCACTAGTTCCCCATCTATTTGCTCACAGTATGTTCTATGTCTGTGCCTCGGATCTTCTTAAGGGGCATCTGCAGCTCATGCACCTGGCTGTACAGATCTACCAGGTGCTGTTCTATTAGGGGCAAAATGTTTCCATTCCATCGTGGGATTCGTGGCCCATCTGTGTTATCCACCTATTTGGCGTTGAGCGAGTTCAGCTGGTGACCAGCTTAAACAGTGGATGCGATAATGATTAATTTCATATTGGTTTCTTGAAACGTTTTTACCACATGTTATGGTGCTAACGGGCTGGAGTTAAAGCTGTAGAATTATGAGGACATTCACAAACACTCAGGTTGAATGTGGACTTTAAATTGGCGGCGTTTGCACCTTCTGTGGCATGCAGGACTTCACCGGAGTCCCTGCTGTTGTCGATCTAGCGGCCATGCGAGATGCTATGGCACGCCTTGGTGGAGATCCTTCGAAGATCAATCCACAGGTAAGAAAGTCTCTTTCTCAACCGGATCATATATAATCACTATTTCCGCCCTGCCCCTCCCACTCCCTCCCTCCCCCCACCCTCTTCGCCCTTCCCAGAAGAAGTTGCAAATGGGATTGCAGTTTAGCTGATTGTGGTGCATCAAGTGCTCCCTGTTTGTGTGCTTCAGATGTTCTTCGCGGGGATGGTGCTCTCGTTGACGAGTTGTGCTTGTGTGTGGGGCAGGTGCCCGTGGACCTTGTCATCGACCATTCAGTTCAGGTGGATGTTGCAAAACAACCTAATGCGCTTCAGAAGAACATGGAGTTCGAGTTCCAGCGGAACAAGGAACGCTTTGCATTCCTGAAATGGGGGGCCAAGGCTTTCTCAAATATGTTGGTTGTACCCCCAGGGTCTGGGATTGTGCACCAGGTATGGTACACTTTGTCTCTGTCTTTTTTATTTCTTTTTCTTTTTTTGATTATGAAGGAAATCCGACTTTGTTATATATGTGGGAAACCACATCCAGCGTCCATTGCTTCCTTCCACCATGGCTGAAGGATACCGAGTCGGGCATTGATCGACTCCGTTAGGGAACGGATTTACCACTACTCTGCCCCTCCAAGGAAGTGTTGGTCGCTCTTCACCGTTGCTGGAATGCACACCCACCTTCACCCAGCTCGGGACCAAGTCCAGCGTCTGTCTATCCTATGGTACCCTTTACCTCTGGATCTCTTTCTCTTTCTCTGGCCTTTTTTCTTTCTTTTTTCCTAGGGTGCCAGAGTGGCCCAGGACCACTTGCCTAGCCAGGTCCCTCTTTCACCGTACCGTTTGCTGGGATGCTCACCCGCCTTCACACAGCTCGGGACCAGGGCGAGCATCCCTTTACCCTATGGTATCCTATTGTATCCTTTGCCTCTGGATTTCTTTCTATGGCCTTTTTATTTCTTTTTTCCTAGGCTACCAGAGAGGCCCGGGACCGCTTGCCCAACGCGGCCAAAAAAAATAGAAATAAAAATGAAATTAAACTTTGATTTGATATTTTAAAGCTCAAATTGGCAAAGAATCTGGACATTTACAACCTAGAGATCTGCATGTTCTTGATGGCCTTGCGGAAGTAATACCGAAGTATAGATCGTAATGATGGTTCCAACTCCTGGGTCAAACTTCAAACCCAGTCGTAGGCGGTACTTTTGCCGGCAAGCAATCTGCAGATGTTGCTGTTGCTGCTTGCTTTCCTTGTCGCTCTCCCGTGCTGTATGATGTCAGGGCTCCACAGCCTGATGTACATCTCTCCTCTTTCGTTTGAAGGGCGGCAGGCTTGCCAGATCATCGTTGAACTGACTGACCCCAGGTGATTCAGAATAACTATGTCATTTATCCAGATTCAAACTTGGGTCTGTATTTCAACAGTTCATGGGTGTACTGTTGGTAAATCTCTCTCCTTGTTTTCCTTTTTCTCTTTGCCCCTGGTGATGGTTGTTGTTTTGTAGAGTGTGTTTGTCTGTTGCACGCAGGACTGGATTACTCATGCTTTTCAAGTCTTCTCTCTCGGGCATGATGGCAGCTGTCGTCGACCGGCCCTTTCTGGGACAGACGTAGACTGTGTGTGTTTGTTGTGCACAGGATCGGATTAGTCGTGCTTCTTGTGTATGCTCCGGGGCTCGGTGGCAGATGCAGGAAAGCACCCCTTTCTATTGCTGACCTTGTGTGTGTGTGTGTGTGTGTGTGTGTGTGTGTGTGTGTGTGCGTGCGCACGGTTTCATTAGTGTTTGCTTTTAATGTATCTTCTGGGGGTTGATGGCAGATGGGCAAAAGGCTCTTTCTGTTGCTGACCTGGGTTTGTCTGTCTTTCAGGTAAATCTGGAGTACTTGGCACGAGTGGTGTTCGAGGACAAAGGAGTGCTCTTCCCCGACAGCCTGGTCGGCACAGATTCACACACAACAATGATTGATGGGCTCGGTGTTGCTGGATGGGGTGTGGGAGGCATCGAAGCAGAAGCTGCCATGCTAGGGCAGGTAAGCGGCCGGCCATTAATATGCTCGTGGAGATGTAGCGCTGCTGAAACCGGGACTGACGTGTGGCATATGCATTGATTGTGTTGTTGTGTGTTTCTCTGCTTTCCAGTGTAGCTCACAAATTGGGTTGATGATTGTTGGACACTGGTATGTGGGGGGGGGACAGGGCAGGGCAGGAGGTTTGAGTACTTTGTCATACCAGACATGAAAAAAATGTACCATCTGGTGTGAAGGCTACACGATGCAGACAGCTGGTTATGTCTTGCAGGATGTTTAGCATGGGATCCCAGAATGATGCATGACTTAGACCTGCTCAGTGCCAGGCTGAGCTAATCATTAAGCTAAGCCAAGCTAGCATGCATCTCGCCATTTCATGACCGACTCCATGGCTCCTTTGGATAACTGTAGCTCCAGTGCTGCTGCCTTGTCCTCCTCGTACAATCTACAGCCGGCCTAGAATACGCAGAAAACGTGCTCTTTTATATGCATTAGCTCCGCTTTGCTCATGGGCTAGCCTATGGTAGCCAACCCACAGGACTCTTCTTCAATAGGCTGCACATGCAGAAATCAGCATGAACCTGGTCCAGAGGTGGTCCAAATCTGGTCCAAATATTGGCCGAACTTGATCCAATCCTGGTCCAAATGTGGTCCTCGGGCATGGAAGCTTGCCCAAATTCGAGGCCCA